TTCCCCCTTCCCGAATGGGAGGGGGGGCAGGCAGCTGCCAGCCCAGCCGCTCACCGGAAGTAGGCCGCAGCCACTTCCGGCCGGGCGGCAAGGCCGGGCGGAGGCCCACTGCGGTGCGTGCCTGCCAGAGCGGCCCTCCAGCAGGCCGCTGAGGCGGGGGCCTGCTCCCCGGGGGAGCCGGGCAGCAGAAAAGGGGGGGCCGCAAGCCCGGGTCGGCAGGAGGCCGCGGCCACCCGGGACGCAAGGAGCGGCCCAGCGGCGAAGCAAGCGAGAGTTGGAGGTAAGCCCTGCAAAGGGGGGGGAGGTGGAACGGCGAGCCGCCCACCCCCAGTGGCTGGGCTCACGAGGCCCGAAAGAGCCCCCTAAAGAGTAAAGGGGTGGGGGGGCACAGACCCATAGCGGGCCCGAGCAGGCACGGCCTGAAGGCGCGGCTGGGCCTGCCAGCCTGGTCCTGCACCGGAGAGGTCTCAGGCCCCACCTGGGCCGAACCGAGGAAGCAGCATGTGGAGGGGGGGCAACCGGGAAGCCAGAGCGGGGTGGGCCCGAGGGCCAATAGCCGACCGTGAATCGCTGCCGCTTCTTCCGCTGCTGTTGCTGCTGCTGCTGCCGCTGCTGCTGCTGCTATCTCTCCTCCGATCAGCTGTTGCAGGCCAAGTGCCTGCCAGGGAGCCTAAGCAGCCTTATGAAGGCTGACCCGAAAGGGGGAGAGGCCAGCTGAGGCCTCAGCTGTGGTGGGCGTGGTCAATAGGCCATTGGTCTCTTGACCCGCCGGCGGGAATTCTTCCCGCCATCGGAGGGGGCTTCTGGGAGGAAGAAGCCCCCCTCAGGCAAGAATGGCGGTGGGGAACACCCTGCACCGCAACTTCTTTGGCCCGGTAAGTCGGGCCATGCTATGTCTTGTCCAACTCTAGAATTCTATATGAGAAGTAGACAATACAGGGTCTAATGGATACACTTTTTCTCTCCTGTCCACCATCTCATCCTGACCAAGACCAACCCTTTCGGAATCCAAATTTATCTGTCTTTCCTTCACTTTCTGCCTCCAAAAAAGAAGATGAAGAGGAGAAAAGGGCAGGGATAGGACTTGAGGAGAATACCCTCCCTCCTGGCCTGCCCACCCCGCCCATGTGGCCCCCAAATTAGAAAATTTGCCCACACCTGATTTAAACTATTATGTAGGTTCACTCACTTTCTTCTTTCCCATACATGATCGTAGAATTAAACAAACTTAATTCTTTTGCTGGAAAAAGTTTTCTCTCTCAATCCTGCCCCCGCCCTCCTCGCTGTCTTCCCAAAGAAATCAGATAGACTACGTAAAGCACAGCCATGTTGTGGATAACCTCTACTTCACCCCTATCATTTGTAAGGAAGAAATGCAGCACACCTTTGATATTCAGGAGGAATTTGTACCTGCTGATACCACAAATGTGCACATACAAATTCCTATTAAATAGAGCGGCTGTGATGTGGCCAGCAAGCCCCAGGCACCAAGCATGACTGGTATGCCTCAAAGGCAGAAGCTGGCAACCCTCCAGGTTCATAAATACAGCATTGTGTATATTTGAGTCCACATTGAATCTGTGGATCATAAGTCCATGGAAACACAGGGGGCACTCTATCAGCTAACCTTCCCATTCCCACTTATTGTTTCTATGTAGGAACTGAAGGGATAGCTAACATACATAATTGAGTGGACAATAACCCTGCTTAACTTCCAAGATCAAATGGTACTTTATTTTTAGAGCAAAATTATGCAGCATTATTTCAACAAAAAAGGACAACAAGTTAAGAGCAAAGTCTTCAGATAAAAAAAGTAAATTAGGAGGGGAGCTCTAGCCAAATGATAGGAAAGGCTATATCTCCATCTACTGTTGAAAATGAAAACCACACCCTCAGTACTGAAAGTAACTTTCTCAAATATTAAAAAACTTTCGTTTTGTTTAAGTTTTTGTAGACACCAGCTCATTTCATTAGCTTCAGTTAGAATGCTCTGTAGCTTCAGTTAGAAGGTATTTGTTCACATCCTATAATGAAGGTATGTAAAATATATGGAGTCCTGGCAGTTTAGCAGTTATTTTAAGAACTTGAGGCAATCCAGAACTTTTTGAGCAAAAATTGTGTATCACTTTGTTTTACAGAAAATAAATATCTTAAACAAAATTAAAGTGGGAAGAGTAATGATTTTTAAAATATCAATTTAAACAAATAACAAACAACAACAATAACAGCAAAACACCAAACCATAAATTTATGGATACTTACCCAGGATGAAGTTTTTTTTCCAGATTATTTGTTCTTCTTGTGAGAATGAAATAGATGAAGATTTAAGTAACTAAATCCCATTTTATTAGGCTCATGCCATGTGGAGACATAGATAGTTTGATTCCTCTCCCTTTTTTTTTGTTCTTCTGAAATAAAGGTTAATTTTGATGTTTTATACTGTTTTTATTGATGGCATTGAATTGTTGCTGACACTGTGTACTGCCCTCAGTCCCCTTTGAGGTTGAGAAGGGTGGTATACAAATACAACAACAACACCAACAGAAACAACAACACCATTGCTCAGATGATTCATTGGAACTTGTTCCACAAATACCATCTGTCTGCAACTGCAACAAAGAACCAAGTATGGATTGTTGATGTTGCAATCCCAGGCAACAGCAGGATTGAAGAGAAACAACTGGAAAAGTTGACATGATACAAGGATTTAAAGATCAAACTGCAAAGATTCTGGCACAAGCCACTCAAGGTGATTGGTACACTGGGTGCAGAGCCTAAAGACCTCAGCCTGCACTTAAACACAATTGGCACTGACAAAATTACCATCTGTCAGCTGCAAAAGGCCACCCTACTAGGATCTGCACACATTATTTGCCGATACATCACATAGTCCTAGACACTTGGGAAGTGTCTGATGCATGATAACCAGCATTGTGATCTTGTTTGCTGTTTACTAATCTTGTTATGTTTATAATAATAATAATCCAAAACAAACTTCCATCCATGGTTTGCTTACTATTATGTGCAGAGTTGGAGACATGATTTGTCTCCCTATATAAATGCCAAAATTGTATGCCATCAACAAACCATGGTTTATGACTCTGGAAATTATCACATTAGACAGTGAAACACTTTGGAGGCTCCTTAGATACAAGTGAAAATATCACTGCATAATGATACCCTCAATCCATCGCAAACCGGTCTTCAGGGTGTATTAAAGCTGTAGCAAATGAAATTGTATTTCCCCATCTTAAGGCTTTTCAATGTCCATTCAAACAGCTTTAGAAAGCCATTTCTGCCATGGATACTGTGAATCCACTTCTGCAGTTAGTTTTGGGGGGTGTGATGACTGTTTGCCCCTTCAGCTGCAAAGCAAAAAGTTAACGCCTTCTCCTTGATCATCCCCAATTGCTTTTTTAAAAAAACTGAATGAAGGAACTGCACCAAGCCTCTAAAATGGATTTCCCCTATAAATTAAATGTTTCCTTTTCTTGGAAAGCAATAATATTTTACAGAACTGCCCACTCATGCATGTTTTTGCCTCATTACAAAAGCTGTGAAAGTGCAAAGTGCACCTTCCATTTGCAGAATAAACTCAATAAGAGAAGTTTTTAAATTGTAAATTGTTATTTTTAATTAATATTGAAAGTGTATGTATGAATGGTAATTCAGTACTGTGAAAATATGGAATCATAGAGATGTGCAATTTTGAATCTCTGAACGATCAGAGCACTGCAGTTCTAGCTTAAAAACCAAAATCAAAAAGGAAGCATGTATGAAGATAGGGGATGCACAGATTGGGAAGAGTTGCATCCCTGCAGCTATAGTAAGATCAACATGCTTTGCAATTTCTCTAAGGTCTCTTCCACACAACTGAATAAAATCTCACATTATCTGTTTTAAACCGGTGTGGACTCAGATGTTCCAATTCAAAGCAGATATTGTGGCTTGATTTTCTGGGTTATATGGCTGTGTGAAAGGGCCCTACGTGTGCTCAGAAATTCTTTGTCTGATAAGAAGAAGGGCTAGATAGGCAATGGCATACTCCTGTCACAAGCAAGGTGGGTTTATGATGGTAGAACCAGTTTTAGGAAACCTGTGTGATAACATCCTATTTTATCCTTAAATTGCAGATTTGGTCCTTGGTACATATTGGCCAGATAAGAGCACTGAGTAGTTGATCACAAAACTTTATTTAAGCTGCAGTGAAAAGGTGTCTGGTGTCTCAGGACAATAAAACAGACACACTGAGCAAGACAAAAAAAACTAATCAATAAGCTCTACGTGGGGTTGCCCTTGAAGACTGCCCGGAAGCTTCAGATGGTCCAGCGCTTGGCGGCCAGGTTGCTAACGGGAGCGGCACTCAGGGAGCATACCACTCCTCTGCTGAACCAGCTCCACTGGCTGCCAATCCGCTACCGGGCACAATTCAAGGTGCTGGCTTTAGCCTATAAAGCCCTAAACCGTTCTGGCCCTGCTTACCTCTCCGAACACATCTCCACCTATGAACCGACCAGAACATTAAGATCGTCTGGGGAGGCCCTGCTCTCGATCCCGCCTGCGTCACAGGCGCGCTTGGCGGGGACGAGAGACAGGGCCTTCTCAGTGGTGGCCCCTCGGCTATGGAATGCCCTACCGGCAGACATCAGACAGGCACCTTCGCTGCTGACGTTTCGGAGAATGGTTAAGACCTGGCTTTATGAACAAGCGTTTGGTTAAGCAGTGCAACCAATCATAGGAAGACGGTAAATGGAACATAGGAATGGCACAAGAATTATGAGAACGGATCTGATTTCAACTGAGGCGTTATGTTATGTCTGTTTTGTTGATCTGTCTTGTTGATTGTTAACTGTTGTGGATTGATGCTGTTGATCCTGTTTGTTGCATTGTTATGTTTTAATTGCACTGACACTGTTTGATAATTGTACCATGTAAACCGCATTGAGTCGCCTGTTAAGGGCTGAAAAATGCGGTATAGAAATAAAGCAAATAATAATAATAATAATAATAATGAAATTACGGTATGAAAAAGGCAAAATATACCATAATATATCACAGTTACACCACTAACTAGTATATGAAATTTCTTAGCCCATGCATATTGGGCAGGAAACATAGGCACATCCCATAATGCTTCTATTAGCAGGAGGGGGAAATAGGGGCAACTGCAGACTACGCATCAGCATGCTACTTGTGAAAGAAGAGTTTCCTTAGGTCTCTTACTCAATGTGACATCTAAGTTCTTGAACTGATTAAAAATTTACTACAGGTAGTGGAATCACTTTTACACGCAAACATTTGCTTTCTATTGAGGCAGACTGAGATCTTTTTCTGGGTCTTCACGCCTTGCAATAGACATCATACTTTATCAAGGCTCCCACTTTGGTTCCTGCTAAACGCTCTCTGAATACTGTGTCCATTTCCTGGTTGTTCTCTTGACTAAAAAGTGTCTTCCAGTCACTTACAGAACCTAGAAGCAAATACATATACAGATATCTATTAGGCCTGTGCAATCAATGAAAATAAAATTTCAATACTCATTACTAAATTACGGGGGGGGGGGGCAATCATTTCTAAAGTGTTTTTTAAATATCGTAAGGGGTCCGTTTCATAACTATAACAAATAACATATTTTTCATTAAGTCATTGCACCAATGGGGACACTTCAGGGACTTCTTTCTCCCTCACTATTAGAGTTAACAGGATGAAATTTGCTACAATTGTAGCACACATTTATCACTCTTAGTCCCCCCAAGTTTCAGAACATTTCACTCATCCAACATTTTTTGGGTTTTTAAAAAAGTTTTTATAAACAACATTTAAAAAAACAGACATGAGCTAACTTTTTTATTATCTCTACAATGGCACAAGATAACAAGGACATAACCCCCCCCCCCCCCGAGTTTCAGAAAGATTCATACATCTACTGATTTGGGGGAAAAAATTAATTTTTGACAAAAACTGTTTTTAAAAGCCACGACAGCTATCCCCTTGAATGCCTTTATATGGTACACAAAATATTATAGAACTTCAACTTAGAGATTTTCCTCATAGTGCAGCACAGATTCAATAATTTATTGGAACTCTAAACTACATACCAGGCTGCTGCTACAGACGAACAATAGCTTTCCCCTATCTCATTGGGGCTTTCTGATGTGAGCAGAATGCTGAGAAATGTAGTTTAGGGCAGGGCCTGTTGAATTCTCTGCCACAGGGGCCCTCACCTTCCCATACTAAATTTCCCAGAATTCTGTTCACATTAGAAGAAATTTGCTGCTGGATTTCAAATCTTAATGCATTTCTCTCAGTCTCCCTCCCAGTTCGCTTGCCCTCCCACAATGGCAACAGGCAATCTGGCTCTCCTTAATTTAAAGAAGAATGGCCTCTTTGGCCTTGCTCCGTTGGTATGGTTTGCTTGTGCTTAAAATGAAATTAACTTTGGGAAAAGTCATAGGTTTTTCGATTCATACGTTTTTTGTGTGTGCATCCCCTGCATTTCTTAATATTGCCTCGTATGTACAGATCTTACAAAATAGAGCTGACAAATGAGGTACAAACAACTTTTTGCATAGTCCTAATATCTATCTATAAATGGAGGCAGCATGTCATAGCGGTTTGTTGGACTGCAACTCTGAAGAACAGGCTGCAAATCACCGCTCATCCATGAAAGGGCACTGGGTGACCCTGGGCAAGTCACACATTCTTAGGATCAAAAAGTCACATGAGAGCTCAGTTTAAGATCACCACAAGTGAGAAACTACCTGAAGGTACATACCAACAACACTGTATAATTATAGTGGATGTGATAAATACTCATGATTTTACCTTGTGATATGAAAACCAAATGTTTGGGGTACAGGTAAACATATGCAGGTGATCTAAAATATTAGTTGTGGTGGTGGAGGAAGTGGGAATCTACCAGTCACTAAACTGAATTCCCATATTTGCTCCGGTAGACAAATATCCCAAACACTGCTAATAAATGGACAAATGAAAATGGGTGATAACATTCATAATGTGTGTGTAGGTGAACAAAAGACAGGAGAATGTTATATTCCCAACTAACATATTGTAAAATGCATATAATCACTCATTCTGAACCATAGGCTTCATATAGCACATAGCACTTTGCATATATAGCTTCTCATTGCTTTCTAAACAAGTAAAAAAAATCTTGTATACAGATCACCCTTCCTTTTGTTTAATGACATTATGCTTCTTAAAGAAGGAGGATGGGAGTAATGATTTGTCTGACTCCTACTAATAATTCCTCAATCATTTCATGAGTATTCCATGAAAAATATTTTGTTCCCTTTGGTACCTATTTTGAAATACAGCTGAATGAATTCGAAACTTTTTTTATTTCAAAAGAAAGCTGGATTTTGGTGCAGTACAAATGTCAGAAAGTAATATGTTAATTATCCAGATTTAGATGCTTTAGCAGTGATGAAATAGTAAACCCCGTTAAAATAAGGATGCAGCATTTACCAATAGGTGACTGTAATTTTAAGCATTTTAGAAAAAAATACCTTTACGGAAGAGGGCGTTACCAAATTCTCCATGGGTTGTTTTAGAATTATCTTTCATAGCGCTGAACGTACTCCTTTTTGCAACACCTTGAATATCTTCCTCATTTAGGTTCAGTCCTAAGAATTTAGCTATCTTCTCAGCTCCTAAAACTGTGTTCTGCAAAGACAAAAGGAAAGTCAGTTCTGCTTCCTGCAAGCTCATAAAAGTTGCATGGGAAGTGATATTATATGATGAATTCTACTTCCATTTAAACAAACTACATTAATTGATGGCTCATTTTCATGAATTGGCCTTCAAGGGTGCTGTATTGACTACAGCTACATTACAATGCATATATTGGAACTGAGCAAAGCACAGTAACATACAAAATCACAGATTGTAGTTGCTCATTACATGAATCCTCCCTGCTAAAAAGTCTGCGCTCCATATCACATGAGGTACCTTTGTTGGTGTTAATTATTTTCAAGATAGCTAGCACCTGTTGTGACATTATGAATGAGAGATCTTTTGGACGCCTTATTAACAGCCCTGAGTCTATCCACTTATCCATACTTATAATCTCTTCTTTAATTTTCTAAATTCACCAAGAATTGTTTTATTTTCTAATGAGTCATGTTCTCTCATGATATACCCTAATTAAAATAGCCTTAGTTGAGTCACTTTGGCTTCTAAAGAAAAAGTGGGCTTGGTTTGCCTTGGCAGCCCACAGTATTTGCAGAGCTCTCATCCAGAGCCACAAAGCCCCCCCGAAGGCTTGGTTAATGTGAAGTTGTATTGTTGTGTTCCTTCTGTTGCAGTTTTATGCTTCTCACTTCTTTCCTGAACCAAAACAAACCAGCAACTAAAGCTACAAATGAAGGTACAAACACAACAACAAAAGTTTCCTTGTTTTTAAGATATGTTCCAGCATTCAACAGAAAAGCTTTAAAAATAAATTTTCACAGTGGATAATGTCTACAGTTTTGAACTTGTTAACTAGGTTTAATTTTGAATTTTGCTTATCTGTGAAGGTTTCTAAAGGCCCTTCCACACAGCCATATAACCCAGAATATCAAGACAGAAAATCCCAAATTATCTGCTTTGAATTAGAATATATGATAGTGAGGACACAGATGACCCAGTTCAAAGCAGATATTGTGGGATTTTCTGCCTTGAAGTTCTGATTTATATGGCTGTGTGGAAGGGCTGCTGAGTGAGCTCATGGCTACTGGTATCTCTTAGTTTAACTTTGCTCACACAATTACTGGGAAGAATCAATGGGGACAAGCCCATATCTTAGCAATATTGATAGTACCTCTTTCATTTCTTCATATGTGATTGGCATGACATTTTCTTCATCTATGTACTTATTCCACATGCAAAGAAAATCAATATAGGATCCCCAGGGCACTAGTGGAAATAAAAAATCAAGAAACAATAATCAGAGATAACTATTTAAAAATATTTTTGGGCATGCTGCATTCTCAGAGCATCCTATTTCAACATTGGTGAGACTTTCCCATACACTTTTCTATACACTTTAAGATGGTGTGAGAGAGAAGAAAACCATTTTACCTCTTGACTGTTTTCTGTTCATAAAGAGTCCAGTTCAGTAAGTTGGCTCAAAACAAGTCGCTTCATTATTTAGTTAGTTACATGTTCTGGTGTAATCAGTGTACAAATAATATAATGGGTTTTCCTTTTGTTAAAGTTATTATTTATTTAAGTTAACGTTTTTATGATCTACCCTAGGAGGTGAATGGCTCCAGGTAGGCTCCTGATGACACTTGCGAGTTTCCTATTGATAAGAAACATGATCCTGTGGAAACCCTGGTTGATCTCTGGAATGGAGAAGTCACCAAGATAACAGACATTACTGTGTGCAAGAATCCCTTCTCCTAAAACAGATCCAGGTCATTTAGTTAATAAAGAGAGGGCAGTGATGAAATGAGTAGGATAAAGAGTAGAGTACCAACAGTGGAAAACTCAGAATGGGTTTGGCCAAACATAGGCTTACTCCCATTAAAGGGCATACTAAACCTCCAGCTGTTTTAAAAAAAAATATGTGGGCATCTCTGAGGACCTGTAGAATCAGAGATCTTAATATATTTTCAGAACTTCTCAGATGGAGTTGGGAAGGGGTACACAAATTATTATGGTTTTATTTTATGCTCACTTTACAATAAGAGCTTGGGATTGTCAGGCTCTGTTGATATTATTGGAATGCAACTCTTAGCAGCCCTAACCATCATAGACAATGGTAAAGAATGCTAAGAAATGAAACACCGTTTAGGAAGCTTAAGTATTTAAATCCCTTCATGCAATATAATCCGTTCATTTCTGGCATTTATTGACTGGATAAGAAAGGCGTGGTTGCGATATTCGTGTGTGTGTGTGTGTTCATTATATAATTAGTATGAATGAAAAATTAGACATCCTACCTTGTCCCTTCATTAAGTCTTCAAAGAATGGTCCAAATGTGTCGTATGGTGGGTATGCAGTAAAGGTATTTGAAAAATGAAAAAAAGATGCAGCTACATCTTTTGGATTCCGAATCAACGTCAGGACCTTTTTTTAAAAAAAAAAAAAAGAAAATCAAGAATGTGAGAATTATGGATGAAAGAAAATGATATTGTAGTTTCTAAAATATATTACTATCTAGTTTCAAAAACCACAGTATATTACTGCAATGTTATGTACACCCTCTTAGGAGTAACCCACATTTAATTCATTGTGAATTATGTGGGAAACTTGCATAGGGCAGGGCTTCATAACTCATAACTAATGTATCTTCACCAATAATATATGCTAAGTTTTTCCCCATACAATGTAAATTGGGAGTAGGCTCAACCCACTCTATTTAAGAATATGATCCTCTAATTTTATTTTATACTTATATTAGCTCAATATAATACAGTTCAAGTAAGGAAAAATAATTTTTCAGACATTGTTAAAAGTTCTAATGAAATCTGCACAGAAAGTCACACAAATCAAGAAGTTCTTTGTCAGGTGTTATTTTTGTATCTTGTTCTAGGTGCTTAATGTTGACTAATGGTTGCTGGGAGACATTATTCAATATAATATGTTGGATTAAATGTCTGCGTGGTTCTCTTATTCGTTTTGGAGAAGAGTAAGACAGCAAATTTGATATCACTGTGAGGACTTGACTTTTCTCAAGAGAGGGATGGCAGCTGGAAAGAATATTAATAATGCTACCATTTTCTATACATAAAACAGTGTTTAGTGCATAACTCTATTTATGTGTGTGTGTGTGTGTGTGTGTGTGTGTGTGTGAAGAATATTTTTTTGTTATGCACACTACACAGACCACACTGGTCATATGATGTTCTTGACTGTAATAGGATGTGGATAACATGGGGATGTATGTGTTGTATGTACCCCATTATGTCCTCAAAAGAGGCAACAGGTGACGGGCAGTCATAGGGTGTTCCAAGTCCAGCAAAGAGCTGTCAATCAATCAAAACTTTATTTGTATCCCACCCCCCACATGTTGTAGGGGTGGCTAACAACATGAAATAATAAATAAAGCAAATGAGCAATGTAAGATGTGGTGGTGACACTTAGATTAGGGGATGGGCCAGAAGGGAACAGAATAATTACAGTGAATTAAAGATTTTACTCACTTTGGCTTTGTTTTTGAAGACTGATACTGGAAATTTATCAGGACGAAGATGTGAAAATATCACTCTCCTAGAAGGATAACTCTTCATTCTCTTTCATAGAGAAAATAAATATGAAATTGAGAAATAATAATTTAGAAATAATAACATCAAAGCTCAAAAACACCCAGGTGGTAAATACAAAACTGACTACTGGAAGGAAAGTTTGCTGCACCTCAGGACTGTGGACCCTGGCATTTTGCAGACCCTATCTCTGTACCCTGCCACCATCTCCCATAAGAACTCAGGGCAGCTTACAAAATAGCACACAAAGGTGCCATACATAGAATACATAATACATGAAATAAAATACATCAACATATGAAAACAATAATACATTACATAAACCTGGCATATAAATTGAGTAAAACAACCTCTATTAAAACAGTCATTTAAAAGATCAATGTAATCAATGTAGCAAACCAGTTGAATGCACACAATGTAGATATAAAGTCCATTTATTTATTTTGTCTGACAAATTTTCTCCTCAGGAATGGGGAGGTACATTTTATTTTGGCCTAATCTGGCAGTCAATATTTTTGTTTCTATATACAAACCATAAATACCCCATGCATTTTTATGTTTATTTGTAGAAAGGCAGCATATAACATAAACAAACGAATAGATAAATAAATATTCTGCACTTGGTTATGTATAACTATACAAGGACGGTCTACAATTGTATATATATAAAATCAGGATTTTTGATTACATTTATGTCATTGATAGAAACACCCAGAATTTAATCCAAAATGTTAGATCATATCTATACCCATATATATGTAACACCTTGTTCACTGGCATTTTTGTGCCTTGTTCTATTTTACTGTCTACAGCTTAAAATATTTATTTATTTATTTAATAAAAAATTAAATTAAAAACCAGGGTCTGCTGGACTTTACAGTAATATAGAAATCATTTTACCCACTCCCCTATCACAATGGAGAGCACCCACCACTTAAACATGTGACTCAAAACTACATGAGCTACATGAACTGATGCACATTACAGGCCCTATTTTGGAACAACCCCTGATTTACCTTATCCAAATTTAAAGTTTTTAATTCATGTTGCTGCACATGCTCACACTATGCATCATTACAACATTTTTGAGCTGCTTTCAATCCAGATTAAGTAGGCAGGGCATTGGAAACCTCTGTTCTAGAGGTTTCCAAAAGGATCTAACAAAATTATAAAATTACCTGCCAAACAGAGACAGTTGAGCTTTTCCTCTACAGAAGTAAATGGGTTCATACATGTAACAATTTGGTCTTGGGGGAGCCAATCCACATAGGGGAATACACACTGCCCACATAATGTTAGACCAGTGCAATTCAGTACCACAATGTCCACATCATGCACAATGTAGGGCAGATTAAGGACCTTATCACCTTAAATGAGGGATTCGCCACGCATTGTGGCACCGCTACCCTGCCCCTTTCATCGTGGAGCCCTGTCAGAAGCAGATGTGTGTTGTGTAATGGGCTTTGTGGTGAAAGGGGCAGGGAAGAAGCATATGAAGGGTAAATCAGCCCATTTGATGAGGTCATAAACTGTGTTCCCAATACCTTAAATGAGAATTACAGTGCAGTAGTTTGAATTAGCCCAATAATTCACATCAGTGCATCAGTGCAAGGTTAATTCGAATCAAAGTTGGGGGGTAGAATCAATGAAAAAAAATGCATCACTGTCAAGTTGCCATTCCAGCACAAACAGGCCCCGCTTTCCAAATGGCCATCTGATATGGTCTTTAGTTTCGAATTTGACATTTAGAGTGCTTATGAACAGCTGTGGTGAGGAAGGTGGTAGTGTCTGCTCCTCCAACATGAAGAATGTCGGTGTACCTACAAAGGCCCAATAGTTGCCAGCCATGATTATGATTGGCCTGGAACCTGGAAGAGATGTCAGCTAATCAAATACAGCAGCAGAAGGATGTATTTTAAATATCAGAAAAGTAACATGTGTGCAACGATATAAAGCATCCTCATTCATCTCTAGCACTGGCAGCAGCAACAATTACATAGAGGAGGAGGAGAGGCTAAAGAGCAAGGAGAAGTGTAAGTATGTATTTAAGCACCCATTCAGGTTTCTGTATAAGTAGGCAAAGGTTCACCTTGTACTTTTCAGGATCTCCAATTTCCAAGAAGGGCATTTCTGCCAGTAGTAGCTCTTTGTTAAATTTGTGAGGTTCATGTTTCTTTGCAGAGGTTGCTACTAAATCTGTAACAATCTGACCAACCCAGTTATTACCTGGAAAAGAAAAAGAGAATTAGATTATTTTTTTACCCCAGGGGTAATCCATAGCCAAGGTTAGCTATGAAGCAAAAGATGCAAGAGTTATTTTAAGTTATGCTCAAATCAATACATTTCATTGACTTATATTCATAGCAAGCTAGCATCAACTCTAAGTGAGTGTTCACGTCTATGTCTATATATGTGAAGCTAACTTACCATAATTTTCTCCAGGAGTTGGCCAAATTTCAGTCTATTTTGATGCACTCCACAAAACCTTTGCTGTAATTTTAAACACTCTATTAAGTGCACAAGCATTGTTTCTTTATGAAATTGATTTAAATCTTGACCTGTTTCTCAGCAAAATCTTGATACGCTAGGTGAGTTCACTTGATGAAATCTATTCCCTGGGCATGAATATAGCTGTAGAGAGGGAGCTAGAGAAATTAGGATACTGTCCCACAAATAAGAATTCTGCCTCATAAAATTATTCATTCTCAAACTTTATAACATTATTCTGTGTTTTCAAACCATTTTTGACCCTAAGGCAACCTTAACATGGAGTTTATATTTGCAGGTTCCGAGGGAGTTTGCCTTTACCTTCTTCTGAGCCTGAGGCCCTTTCTACACTGCCATATAATCTGCATTATCAAAGCAGATAATCCACATTACCTGCTTTGAAATGGATTATATGAGTCTACATTGCCATATAATCCAGTTCAAAGCAGATAATCTGCATTTTATAAGGCAGTGTAGACCCCTTCCTCACAGCTGAATAAAATACCACATTATCTGCTTTGAACTGGAATATATGACAGTGTAGACTCAGATAACCCAGTTCAAATAAGATATTGTGGGATTATGGCCATGATATTCGGAGGGCAGTTCCAGACAGGGCTTTATCCAAGGAGCATTCATGTTTAAAAAATGTGAATGTTACTGGGGTCCTGTCCACACACAGGTTTCCAGATATCCTTCTGGGAGTGGCCTGGGAGGGCACCGGGACATTCTACCCCTCTCTCCAATAGCCCTATAAAAGCCCTTTTAAAAAGTACTTACCTGGCCTCCATTAGAGAGCTGCAGCAGCTCTCCTGACATGTAGAAATGCCGTGTCAGGAGAAGAGGGGGCGGGAGCGATATTCCTCCTCCTCCCTCTCCCCCTTTCTACTGGCAGTCCAGACAGTATTCCCACAGTTTTCTGGGCTAAATTAGCCCAGAAAACTGTGGGAATCCAACCCCTCCTCCAAAGCCCTAAAAAAACCCTTTAAAAGAAAAGTACTTACCCAGGCCTCCATTGGAGAGCTGCCACCATCCCATGGAGGCCGGGTAAGTACTTTTCTTTTTAAAGGGTTTTTAGGGCTTTGGAGAGGGGTTGGCATTCCCACAGTTTTCTGGGCTAATTTAGCCCAGAAAACTGTGGGAATACTGTCTGGACTGCAGTATTCTGCAGTCCAGACACCGGAAGTATTAGGTTTATCCCACACCTTCCAAGAAGGTGTGGAATGAACCCACTATCAAATTAATTCACCACAAATGAGGGTTTTCCTGGTTTGTGGTGAATTAATTCCGGTTTGGCAGAATGTTGTCTAGACAGCCCCCTTTTTACTGCAGAAGTTTATATGAGTCATATGACTGTGTGGAAGGGCCCATAGAAGGGGCCCAAGAAAGTATGACTTGCCCAATTGGGCTTGCATGGCCAAGCAAAGATTCAAAGCTTGCTCTCCAGAGCATAGTCCAGCGCTCAAACCACTACACCACAGTGGATGGTATCTCTAGCATTACAGTAATGTAAACCTTCTCTTGAGTATTTATAAATACAGTTGGGGCATTCAAAGAAAAGAATTTGGAGGTTTATTAACTGAAATTTGCCTTAAAGCATTTACAGTTGGATTTTAGCATTGAGTAATCAACACTGTGAAAATAAAATAAAAAATCTATGAAACAATAATCCAACTGGTAGGTATTCAAAGGATTAGACCAGGGGGTCGGGAACCTATGGCTCGCAAGCCAGGTGTGGCTCTTTTGATGAGTGCATCTGGCTCGCCCGTGTATTCCCTTGGAAAGGAACTGAGCCCGCCTTTGGCTGATTAGGCCCCGAAGGAAGGGAGGAGGGAAGGAAGGGAGAAGGGAAGCAACGGGGAATCTTTTCCCCACCGAAAGCCCACCTTGACCCGTTGCGGCCTAGTCGCCTCCGCCGATCCCCGGCCTCGCGTAGCGGCCTCGCCGGGCCCGGAGCAGGGAAAGCGGGGAAGAGGGGAGAGCGAGAGGGGCCTTTCTTCAGCTACGGCGCCCGAGAAGCGAAGCTCTGGCCGAGGGAGGGAAAGGGGCGGAGCGCGCCACGCCCCCTCTCGGGCCGCCGGGGGAACTGCACCGCACCGAGGCCGTTTCCGCCTCCCTTCTCGCCCTGACTACAGCTCCCGGCATGCCCCGCGATAGCCCTCCAGGCTAAGGGATGCCGGGAAATGTAGTCTGAAAGGGAAAAAAGGGAATTAGACACCATTCCCATGTTTATAGGATTGAATTTCCTGAGGCCTTGCAAAACTACAGTTCCCATCTTTGTTGTATTGTGTTTCCTGAGGCCTTGCAAAACTATAACTCCCATGTTTCATAGCATTGAGTTTCCTGAGGCCTTGCAAAACTACACCTCCCATGTTTCTATAGCCATGAGTTTGGAGTGGCCTTGCAAAACTAGGACTTCCATTATTCCATAGCATTGTGTTTCCTGAGGCCTTGCAAAACTACAATTCCCATGTTTCTCTGGGTAAACAGGTAAACGCCCCCTTTTGAATCAGTCTGCTCGGTCATTAGCTCAAAGCTAACCCTTCAACGAAGAAGATGGCGAAAAGAAAAAAAGATGATGAGTATCGTACATTTCAGGATGAATGGAGTGAAGAATTCGCCTTTGTAGAGAGAGCAGGTTCTGCGGTGTGCCTAATCTGCAATGACAAAATTGCATCGATGAAACGGTGGAATGTAAAGCGGCACTTCGACACACGCCATGCTACCTTTGCATCAAAATACCCTGCGGGAGACAGCAGGAAGAAAGCGTGCCAAGAGCTGCTGAGCAGGGTGCAAGCTAGCCAGCAGCAACTCCGCGTATGGACCCGGCAAGGCGACTATAATTCCGCTAGTTTTGCTGGATCTTTAGCAATAGTAAGGAACGGAAAACCATTCACAGATGGCGAGTATGCTAAAACGTTGATGCTGGATGTAGCCAATGAACTTTTTGATGATCTTCCGAACAAAGATAAGATAATCAAACGGATACAAGACATGCCTCTGTCGGCAAGAACTGTTCATGATCGTACCATCATGATGGCAAACCAAGTGGAGGAAACGCAAGTGAAGGACATAAATGCAGCGCCGTTCTTTTCCCTGGCTTTGGATGAGTCAACAGACGTAAGTCATTTGGCGCAGTTCAGTGTGATTGCAAGATATGCTGCTGGTGACACACTGCGCGAAGAAAGTCTTGCTGTTCTGCCAATAAAAGGGTCCACAAGAGGTGAGGATTTATTCAAGTCTTTCATGGAGTTCGCTCGTGAAAAAAATCTACCTATGGATAAACTTCTCTCAGTGTGTACTGATGGTGCTCCGTGTATGGTGGGGAAAAACAAAGGATTTGTGGCGCTTCTCCGTGAACATGAAAATAGACCCATCCTAAGTTTCCATTGCATTCTACACCAGGAGGCACTTTGTGCTCAGATGTGTGATGGTCAGCTTGGCGAAGTGATGTCGCTGGTCATTCGTGTGATCAACTTTATTGTTGCCCGAGCCTTAAATGATCGCCAGTTTAAAACACTGCTGGATGAAGTTGGAAATAACTACCACGGTCTGCTTTTGCACAGCAATGTGCGTTGGTTGTCACGAGGGAAGGTGCTCAGCCGTTTTGCGGCTTGCCTGAACGAAATCCGGAATTTCCTTGAAATGAAAGGCATCGAGCATCCTGAGCTAGCCGAAACTGAGTGGCTCCTCAAGTTTTACTATCTCGTGGATATGACGGAACATCTGAACCAGCTCAACGTGAAAATGCAAGGCATTGGAAATACAGTGTTATCCCTTCAACACGCCGTGTTTGCTTTTGAAAACAAGCTGGAGCTCTTTATCATGGATCTTGAAACGGGTCGTTTACTACATTTTGAAAAACTGAGACAATTTAAAGATGCATGCACAGCAAGTGAGCCCACTCAAAACTTTGATCTCCACCAGCTAGCTGGCTTCACATCCAGTCTCCTACAGTCGTTCAAAGCACGCTTCGGAGAATTTCGTGAGCACACTCATCTCTTTAAGTTCATCACCCATCCAAACGAGTGTTCACTGAACACAGCCGACCTGAGTTACATTCCTGATGTCTCCCTCAGAGATTTTGAAGCAGAAGTGGCTGACCTGAAGGCCTCAGACATGTGGGTGAATAAGTTCAAGTCACTGAGTGAAGATTTGGAAAGAATCGCACGACAGAAAGCGGAGTTGGTGAGCAAGCACATGTGGACAGAAATGAAAAAACTTCAACCTGAAGACCAGCTGATTATCAAAACTTGGAACGCGCTTCCTGTCACATACGACACACTGAAGCGTGTGAGTATTGCTGTATTGACCATGTTTGGATCTACGTATTCATGTGAGCAGTCATTTTCACATCTTAAAACATCAAGTCCAACCTACGATCACGTTTAACGGATGAAAGCCTCAACGCCTGCATGAAGCTTAACCTCACCAAGTACCAACCAGACTACAAAGCCATCAGCAAATCCATGCAGCACCAGAAGTCGCATTAATGGTGAGTATTATAACAACATTATTTAAAAGAATAAATTCAGAGGCTTATTATACTCACATTTAGTTGAATTCAGTCTTAAAATATATTATATGGCTCTCACTGAAATAAATTTCCAAATATTTTGCTTTCATGGCTCTCTGAGTCAAAAAGGTTCCCGACCCCTGGATTAGACTGTGTAAACAGGCCAGGAAGAACTGGTTCCTTAGTTATTTACTGTGTGATCTTGACAGAAGGACAACAGAGCAGGTGGCCAAATTTCTTTTTGCAATGGCAAAAAGTTGCAAGTGCTTCATCATGGACAATTTGCAACTTGTAATAACTGAGAGTATCCCTCCCCCCCGGTGGAACAGCGGGTTAAACCACTGAGCTGCTGAACTTTGAATCTGGAGAGCAGGGTGAGCTCCCATTGTTAGCCCCAGCTTCTGCTCAATTTATTCAGTAGCACAAGAGGGGGGGAGGGGCCAGCCTTTACATGACCCAAGGTTTGGATCATTTTAAGCCCCCTGGTGGTGCAGTGGTTTAAACCGCTGAGCTTGCCGGCCAAAAGGTTGGCAGTTCAAATCTGGGGAGCAGGGTGAGCTATAAATGATTCAAACACTATTTACTATTCTGTCCTCATTTGACTTCAGCCGAAGGTTTGTTGACCCAAATAAAGGCTATTGAATTGAACTGACTGAAAATCTGGCAATAGTCATTAACTTTCTTTCCCCGTTCGCACTCTCCCCCCAGCTAACTGTATTGGCTCATTATTATACCTAATTGAAGACAAACTTTTCTGATTCTATCATTTTACACTTTGGTCTCCCTTATGCTAGGATTCCAATCAATTTTAACCTTAAGCAACTCTTCTAATGACAGTTTCAGTTCAAATCACTCATGGTAGACTATATAGATATAGATATATCAAAGGCGACTCACCACATTTACAATATCCATCTAGAATGACATCATCACTCCTTGCTTCAAAAGACTCAAGAGCTTTGAAGACCTCTGGGCTGCAAAGAGTTGTAGGGTACACAATGCCATCGTAAGTGAATAGCTTTTGTTCTGGAGTCATCTTTTTACCAGCTTCCATTGCTTTTTCCACAGCCTCGACAAATTTATTTCTAACATATGCCATTTTACACTTCTTTTCTTCTTTTTTCAGGAGATAAAAAGATTCTATAAAGAAAATAGATATGGTTAGGCTTTAAACATGTTACTTGTTTTTAAAGTGGGTTGTATTGTGTTTGTATGTTTCTAAATTGTGCATCAATCTGGTAAAATGTGTCCTGCTAGACAGTTTTTCTTTCAAACTCTGTTGCTGTTGTATCTCTTCAAGTTATTTCTAACTTAGGATAACCTTTTCGGGAGTTTCTTGCCAAGATGTTACATGTCCAAGATCACTTAGTTCTCACGTTCTCCTCCTTCTAAATTTTTATTCCTTATTTCTCTGAATGCAATGATTGAATATGGAGATATGGCCAAATAATATTTCAAAGATGCACTAATACTTACCTTCAGTCCAATGGAACGCTTAGACAGATCTCTGCTGCTTTTCCTCTGTCTGTGTCTCCGGTTACTGGAACCTTGAGATTATTTTTACAACATATTTGCATTTGGTAAGGTAAACGTTCAAAGTCCACTTTTATACAAGCTGGCAGAGAATATCAGTATTTTGTTAACAAATGCAAAAGATTGTGATATAACTCTGCTTATCAGCCTCCTTCCTATCTGGCACTTTATTTGCTTAACAAGCTGCAGCCTCCAGAGAACTAAAAAGAAAGGGCACACGTTTAATATGGGACCAGGCCTGGTTTTTTTGTGGTTAGTGTTCTCTCTTCCCTTTCCACTTTTAACATTGTTTTTCTCAGTATTGTCGAAGGCTTTCATGGCCAGAATCACTGGGTTGTTGTAGGTTTTTCGGGCTGTATGGGCATGTTCTATAAGCATTCTCTCCTGACATTTCACCTGCATCTATGGCAGGCATTGTTTTTCTCAGCATTTTTTCTCCCCCTCCCCCTCCCCCTTCAGGTTTTTCTCCCCCTCCACCTTCATTTTGTGTTTCTTGATCCATGTCTTCTACAATATTTCTTGTTTTCCTCTATCCATTCCATAATCTTCCTATCAAATAGCATAATAGAATCATAGCGTTGGAATATATCATCCAGTCCAGGGCCCTGCCATATAGGAATATGCAATGAAAGTACACCCAACAGATAGCCTCTGTTTAAAAACCTCTAGAGAAGAAGACTGTACTCCAAAGCAGTGTTCTTAACTATCAAGTAGTACTTACGACCAGCAAGAAGTCCTTCCTGGTGTTTAAGCCAAACCTCTTTTCCTGCACTTTGAATTAATTGCTCCTCTGGACCAAGAACAAACAAGCTGTTATTGAATATTATGTCACTTTAAAAAATCTATTCTGAAGCTCGGTATATCCATTTCCATAAGCTGTTCCTCCAAGGGCGTGGTTTTCAGGGTTTTTTTTACCATTTTGTTTGCCCTCCTGGACATATGTTCCAGCTTGTCAACATTCTTCTAAAATTGTTGTGGACAGAAATGAGCACAATATTCCAGATAAGGCCTGACCAAACCAGAATAGAGTGGTACTATTACTCCCCTCAGTCTAGACACTGTACAATATTTATGCAACCTATAGCTACTGCCAACGTACTATTTCATTATTTTCCCATCAAATCATCACAGGATCTTCCATGTACTTGTATTTTTGAGGGCTGTGGCTGCCAACCAGAGGCGGTCCTAGGTAAGTTTCAACGGTAAGCAAACAGTATTTTGGCGCACACCCCCCCCCCCAACTAATCACAGATATACATTTTCTGTTCGTCGTGGGAGTTCTGTGTGCCATATTGGGTTCAATTCCATCATTGGTGGAGTTCAGAATGCTCTTTGATTGTAGGTGAACTATACATCTCAGTAACTACAACTCGCATATGTCAAGGTCTATTTTCCCCCAAGAGCGCCTCAAGAACGCCCCTGGGCAAAATCAACTATACTGCAAATGCTTACTTTGCGTAATGGGTTTAGCCGCCCCTTCTGCCAACTATACTGATGGAAAGGCAGTCTGTATGTACTCTGGTTATGAGGATTCTCTCAGAGCAGAGTCTGAGGGCAACATAAAAGTTTCCTCCCCTGCTTGGATTTCTGTGTCCTCCAAATATACATCTGAGTTCCTCAGATGAAAGAACTGCACAGTGAAACTTCAAATGGAGAACTGCACACAGTGCACAGTGAAGCAATCTTACACTTAGTTATATGGTGTTGATTTGTGATTTGGTTTACATATGTAAGGCATTGAATTTTGCCATTATCTCTGGGTAAACCACTTTGAGTCCCCCAGGGGTGAGAAAAGCAGTATATAAATCCTGTAAATAAATAAATAAGCAATCGTCTTATTCTTTAAAACCCATGTTAATATAGTCTTAGACCGGGTTGTGGTGCAGCTGGTTGGGAGTCAGCTGCATTAAAATCACTACTGACTGAAAAGTCATGAGTTCGAAGTCAGCCTGGGTTGGAGTAAGCTCTTGCCCATTTTTCTAACTTGCTGTCGACCTTTGCAGCCCAAAAGGCAGTTGCATCTATCAGGTAGGAAATGTAGGTACCACTTATGCAGGGAGGCTAATTTAACTAATTTACAGTGCCATAAAACTTTCCAGCAGCGTGCAAAAGAATGAGGAAGCACTCCATTGGTGTCACAAGTGGACAATGAAGCAACAGCTCCCCTGGTGGTCAGAATGCAAAGCATACTCATGAAGCTGGAAAGGTAAATAGCCTCTGTGTGTCTGTTTATATATGTTGTGTGTTTATGGCATTGAATGTTTGCCATGTATATGTACATTGTGATCCGCCCTGAGTCCCCTGCGGGCTGAGAAAGGCGGTATATAAATACTGTAAGTAAATAAAATAAATCAAATTTTGAGCTAATTCAGCACTCTTAATGAACAATTTGTAAATGTTTCCAAGTCTGAGTAAATAGTATTCTTTCTGCTGTTATTGGAGAATGATCCATACAGGATGAGCATCTCTTATCCAGAATTCCGAAATTCACTTTAAAATCCAAAATTGTCCACTTGGATGGCTGAGATAGTCACCTCTCTGCTTTCTGTTGCTTCAGTGTACACAAACTTTGTTTCATGCACAAAATTATAAATAAAATATTGTATAAAATTACCTTTAGGTTATGTATATGAAGTAGATATGCAAAATACATGCATTTTGTGTTTAGCTTTGGGTTCCATCTCATTGTATATAAATATGCAAAATGCCACCCATGAATAAAGTATACATGATCTATTTTGGTAATACAGTACTGTAAAACTTTATTTTTATTGACTTGTATTTTTATTGACTAAAACATTTTTGCTTTCTTACAAGTTCACTACATATAAAGAAAGGAGCCTTCTGGTTTGAAACATTCTGGGACATTTTCAACAGTAGTGCCTATTTCTGACATTGGATTTAATTTTGATCCATAGACATAACTAAGCTAACTATTTCCGGATATATTTAAAACAATTCATTAATTATAGTACAGGAAAAGCTGACAGTTTTGTTGCAGGCTTCAGGGTTTACAATAAACTCCATATTTCAACCTTTCTCCCAGTTTTGTCCCACTTAAGCGTTCTTCAAATATCATATCCATCTTCTGATTGTGATCTTCACTGAAGAAGTTCTTCCAGTCACTAACACTGCCTGAACAGAGTATATATATATATATATATATTACTGGTTATTATATCAATGAGTTATTAATATTAAAATATAATACAATCCCTCATTCTACCATAGTATCAGATCTATCCTGCTCTAATTATTTTTTTCATTAACTGATACAGTTTTGCTGCTATTGGTCTCTAAAGCAAATCAGCGAAATGGTAGCATATTCTTCAAAGTACAAAGAAAAATGGAAGGAAATTGATAAGTGAAGAGTGGCAAGAAAATTATAAATAAGAAGAAAATAATTGAAGATGGGCCATATTGGCATTGGGAGTGGTTGGAGCTATGTAACCAAATGTCACTTAAATAATTACAGGGATACTATCGGAACACATGAGCCAGAGGCTCATTGTTAGACAAGTTACCGTGTTTTGTAATTCTTTCATCCAGAACATAAACCTTGCTCCTAACACTCACTTTCATTATCAGAGAAGCATAATGGTCTACCAAATTCTTCTCTACCTTTCAATTTAATCTGGGCTAGAAAATATATCCTTCCCATCTACTACTCATTCTGTATCTGTTATGATGCATGCTGTGTTGACAGCATGGTGAAATGTAAGGAAGAAGGCCTTCTCCCCTTTGAGAGTTCACCCACCAATATTAGTTACATGTTGTTTAGTTACATGCATAGGAGTTCCTGGATCTATGAAGGAATTCATAATTGCTATGAATTCAATTTAAAAGAAAAAGCCTTCCTCAACTTATTGTTGATCATGTAATACAAGTAACACTTTCCTGAGTCATGTGAGTGTGATCTGTGGTTGCCTCTCTTTGGTTATATTACATGATTTTCATTTCATATTGGGCACTTGTTTGAAAAATATTGATGTTAATTCAGCTATTAATCCCATCTAGAGTTAATCCGCTGAACTCATGAAATGTAGTTTACCCAGTTTACCTCTCCGAACGTATCTCCCTCTATGAGCCATATAAGAGATCAAGATCTTCTGGGGAGGCCCTGCTCTCAGTCCCACCTCCTTAGCAGGTGTGGTTGGTGGGGATGAGAGACAGGGCCTTCTTAGTGGTGGCCCCTCAGCTATGGACCTCCTCCCTGAGTGAAATCAGATCAGCCCCCTCCCTCCTGGCTTTCAGGAAAAAGCTAAATACGTGGATGTGGGACCAAGCTTTTGGTCAGTAACAGTGCAATAAGAGAACACAGAAGGGTACAATGACAATTGGAATGGCCTCGGACTATGGTATCAGACTGCGAGATTTTAAATAAGTGGTTTTAATGCTTGATATGTTTTTAGTGATTGTCTTAATGTTTTATTTTATTTGATGTATGTTTACGTTGGCATCAAATTTCTTCATATCTATGTAAGCCACTCTGAGTCTCCTAAAGGGTGAGAAGGGAGGGGTATAAATATGATAAATAAATAAATAATGTATATAAGGGTTGATTTACTATGTTTTCATTGATTGAATACGTCCTTCTTTAATTCAGGCTGACAATGGGATTTTATTCAAAAGAAAATACAAGCACATACTTGAAAACCACCTAGACACAGAGAAATTCATGAATAAAGATACGTGCCAGAACAAAATAGCTTGTGTATTGTTTGTACATTACAACCTACGATCAGTTATATGAACTACACATTCTGGATATAAGTTTCTAGTTGAAAACATAGGTCCAGGATTAGCCATATGCAGTGAAATTTGACAAGGGCACAAGTTTAGGAGAAAAAAAAGAATAATATTTCAGGTTGTCCTAAACTGATGTCACCAAAAGGTAATGATCATAGTTTCCTTTCAAACGATGTAGTCTAAACTTAGTTTTGGAAACTTACCTTTACGGAAAAGGACACTGCCCAATGCACCATGAGTACTTGCAGAATTTTCTTTCATTGCCTCAAAACTGCTTCTGTCTACAACCCCTTGAATCTCTTCATCAGATAAATGCAGTTCAAAGAATTCACTTATTTGTTTCACTCCCAATGCCCTATTCTGAAATGAAGAAAATAAAAATGTACTGGGTAATTGTTAGTTGCTTCTTGAGAAAGATGTTCAAATGTAATATTTTGAGATGTGAAAGTGGGTAAAGCCTGGGTAAAACCAACCAATCACAGCTTATGAACAGGGGCATATCAAAGAGAGAAATACATACTACTAAATTATCTACTAAAGAGTCAGATAGGAGTCAAATGGGAAAAGATGAAACAGAGTAAGGACAATCAAAGAGCAGAACACATCCACGGTGACAATTTAATGATGTTTGAAGACGGTTTGACAGTGTGGTGTTTATATGATGCACGCTGTGAATGCACTTTAAGAGCTCTTTAAGCCAAAATAGTATGCAATAGTATGCTTGAGTGCAACCACATTGCACTGCAAAAGCAATTAAGAGATGGGGCACTCCACCAATCTGCACATGCACATTATGGAAGGGTGAGTTTTTAAAAACTGCATTATCTGCAGCTCTCAAGCCAAGGATACTATGGATCCTAGAAGTGGCTCAAGCCAGCCTCCTCCATGTTCATAAGCACTATCCAAGCCTCAACCCAGTTCTAGGACTTCCCATCTAATCATCCACACACAGAAACTGCTTCCTTCTCTGCTGGTTTCACCCTGACCTAAGTGATCAGTGTAGTTGTGCCCCAAATGGAAATCTGACTAGGGTTTGGGAAGCTGAGAATAAGAAAAGAGTTAAGGAGTTTTGTGTTAAAGTTAAATGCCATTTTCAGTTATTTACAATAAATCCACAATAATAATGTCAAATAATTTGCAACCTGTTCATTCAACCTCTTTGTGGACATACAGTCAAGCGTACAGTGTCATACTTGACAAACAATGTGAGTGGGTCGTTGTAGGTTTTTCAGGTCACAACCTCTGAGGATGCCTGTCATAGATGCAGGTGAAACATCAGGAGAAAATATTTCTAGAACATGGCCATACAGCCCGAAAAACCTACAACAACCCAGTGACTCCGGCCATGAAAGCCTTTGACAATACATTAAACAATGTGAGTGTTTGGCTTTGCATGAGCAGTCCGGTTAGGCAGATAATCAGGAAGCATTTTGTTGATTTTCATAATTATCAGAATACCAAGGTATACTTATACAAAGTGTTCTACATACAGCAACACTCCTACCTCTTTCAGTTCTTCGTATGTTATTGTCATTATGTTTTTCCTATCTGCGTGCTTGCTCCATTCAAAAACATAGTCAAAATAAGAGCCCCATGGCACTGTAAAGAAACACAAAGAACATAAGGCAGCTATAAAAGGAAGAATAGCTGAAAATCTGAAGATTCTTTTGCATTCCTAGAACAACAGGATTTCCTTGCCCAAGATGTATGCAATTCTTGAGAATCTTCCCATTTTCATATAATTGTCTCTTTTATTCATGTCCACCCAAGAATAAATAAGTTACTGAATTAGGTTCTTGTGGGTTTTTTCGGGCTATAGAGCCATGTTCTAGAGGCATTTCTCCTGACGTTTCGCCTGCATCTATGGCAAGCATCCTCAGAGGTTGTGAGGTCTGTTGGAAGTAGGAAAAATGGGTTTGTATATCTGTGGAATGGCTGGGGTGGGGCAAGGAGCTCTTCCCTGCTGCAGTTAGGTGTGAATGTTTAGCTGATCACCTTCATTAGCATTTGAAGGCCTGCCTGAGCCTGGGAAAATCTGTTGCTGGGAGGTGTTAATGTGCCTGGTTGTTTCCTCTCTGCTGCTTTGCTGTTGCAATTTTAGAGTTTTTTAATACTGGTAGCCAGATTTTGTTCATTTTCATGGTCTCTTCCTTTCAGTTGAAATTGTCCACATGCTTGTGGATTTCAATGGCTTCTCTGTGTAGTCTGACATGGTGGTTGTTGGAGTGGTCCAGCATTTCTGTGTTCTCAAATAATATGCTGTGTCCAGGCTGGTTCATCAGGTGCTCTGCTATGGCTGACTTCTCTGGTTGAAGTAGTCTGCAGTGCCTTTCATGTTCCTTGATGCGTGTCTGGGCGCTGCGTTTGGTGGTCCCTATGGAGACTTGTCCACAGCTGCATGGTATACGGTAGACTCCTGCAGAGGTGAGAGGATCCCTCTTGTCCTTTGCTGAACGTAGCATTTGTTGGATTTTCTTGGTGGGTTGGCAGCCTGGACACAGCATATTATTTGAGAACACAGAAATGCTGGAACACACCAACAACCACCATGTCAGACTACACAGAGAAGCCATTGAAATCCACAAGCATGTGGACAATTTCAACAGAAAGGAAGAGACCATGAAAATGAACAAAATCTGGCTACCAGTATTAAAAAACTCTAGAATTATAACAGCTAAACAACAGAGAGGAAAAAACCAGGCACAGATTAACACCTCCCAGCAACAGATTTTCCCAGGCTCAGGCAGGCCTTCAAATGCTAATGAAGGTGATCAGCCAAACATTCACACCTAACTGCAGCAGGGAAGAGCTCCTTGCCCCACCTCAGCCATTCCACAGATATATAAACCCATTTTTCCTACTTCCAACAGACCTCAACCTCTGAGGATGCTTGCCATAGATGCAGGCGAAACGTCAGGAGAAATGCCTCTAGAACATGGCTCTATAGCCCGAAAAAACCCACAAGAATCTAGTGATTCCAGCCATGAAAGCCTTCGACAATACAAGTTACTGAATGTCTACAGAACATGGAAATAATATTTTAAAATTATGCAAAAATAAATATACTTTACTTTTTCCCTTCATAAAATCTGCAAAAAAATCATCGAAGGTCTTGTAAGAAGGAAGAGGAGACAATCCATTGGAAAAATGGTAGAAAGAAGTAGCCACATCTTTGGGATTTCTAATCAGCAGTAGTATCTGTAAGTAAAGAATGTTTGTATGTGTAATATTTGCAATGTCAGGTTGTAATATTTATAATGCTTTTGTGGCTATGTTGACAAAAATGTTATATTTTTAAAAGATTAATATCAGACAACAAGTTCAGGAGTAATATTCACATGTCCTTTATTTTCAAAAGCTCAGGCAAATTGGAAGCAGGAAGCAGGAAACCTTAACCAATCTCTCTCGAAAATGATCCACACTGCAGAATTATAGCAATTTGGTATCATTTTAATTGTCTTAGCTCCAGGATGTGTAATACAGAAGGGTTAATATCTCAGAAAACAAGTAATTCTAGAATCCTATTGCATTGCCCCATGTCAGTTAATTTGGGGTTAAACTGCTTTAGTTCTGCAGTGTGGATACAATTTCAATATCTATGCTTTTTTTTTAGTATAATCAGCTCCTTCAACTCCTTCTTTCTCTTTAGGGTTTTTTTTTCCTCTTTACCGCCTCCCTTTTAGATTGTCCTTGAAAAATACTCTGGTTGAGGCCAACGAAGGCTTATTAAATGTACAGTAATTGCTTTCCTTGGCTAGTTTTGACTGGCATTAAATCAAGCCTATCAGATACTCCTTTGTGAGTGATTTGAATTGCAATGGGGAAGGACCAGCAAAAATATAACTATTAAACCTAACATACAAACATATGGTCAATGGGTATTACTTTAATGATTTTGCTCCTGAACTTTCAGAATGAATAGTAATTAGTAGCTGTGCTGAAATACTCATTAAGCCCCAAAACCTACTCACTTTGGCCTCTCTCTTAAAAACAGATGCTGGCAGATTGTTTGGAAGAAGATGTGTAAATATAACTCTTCTAGAAGGTAAATTTTCCATCCTCTTTGGTAAAATGAAGGGTAGCGATACAGCAATGAGGTGAGGGTAAATGGGGAAGAGGTAAAGAGAGACATAATTAAACAATATAACTTTAACATTTACATCTCAAAAAATTCAACTGTTCAATGTAACCCTATGGAATTCTGTTCAAAAGTGAGTCCCATGAAAGCAGTGAACCACTGGCTAGTAAATGTATGTAGAACTATGATAAAAAAAACCCTCTTAATACAGATGGTCATGAAAATATAGTTTTTATTTATATTTGAGCTTAAATTAAGTAGGAGGCAGATGAAATCTTTTAACCTCTATGCTTTTATGCCCGGTGGAGGGAACATATTTAGAATCCCCCTACAGTTGAGCTACCACAGATTGGACCACTGAAATAAGGGTTGAAGCCTCTCTCATTCGCCTCCCCTCCTAACATTGGTGAAAATTATTGGCTCACATAGGTAAGAATTTGTCTTATGCGTGGTTAAAATGTGTGGTCAAGTTCTCCACAATAAAATGTTTGTAGAACAAAATACCATAGTAAGGGGTTTGTAAGGTACTAGTATAGCATATTAGTTTGAACCATGAAGTATGGTTATGGAGACCAGGGGACAAGCCTCTATTTGCCCCTGAAAACCCACTGAGTAACCTCTTATCACCTCATCCCATTTACTGTTCAGGCATGTATCCCCACAATGCCCATATTATTATTATTATTATTATTATTATTATTATTATTATTATTATTATTATTATCATTTGAAACACAACAAAATGAATCCACAGCAGACACTCTGCTGGCTGTTATATTGGATCCCAAGTGTCTAGGACTGTGTGATGTATTGGCGAATAATCCGTGCAGATCCCAGTAAGGTGGCCTTCTGCAGCTGGCAGATGTTAATTTTGTCTGCACTGATTGTGTTTAAGTGCAGGCCAAGATCTTTAGGCAATGCACCCACTGTGCTGATCACCACCGGGACCACCTTGACTGGCTTGTGCCAGAGTCTTTGCAGTTCGATCTTTAAATCCTCATATCGTGTCAGCTTTTCCAGTTGTTTCTCTTCAATCCTGCTGTCCCCTAGGATTGCAACATCGACAATCCATACTTTGTTTTTTAACACGATTGTGAGGTCAGGAGTATTGTGCTCCAAAACTCTGTCTGTCTGAATCCGGAAGTCCCAGATTAGCTTGACATGTTCATTCTCTGTAACGTTTTCTGGCTTGTGATCTCACCAGTTCTTTGTCACAGGCAGATGGTATTTGTGGCACAAGTTCCAATGAATCATCTGAGCAGCGGTGTTATGCCTCTGCTTGTAGTCTGCCTGCGCGATCTTCTTGCAGCAGCTGAGGATGTGATCTATTGTTTCATCTGCTTCCTTGCAGAGTCTACATTTGGGATCTCTCATCGGCTCTTTAATTCTGGCTTTGATGGCATTGGTTCTAATGGCTTGTTCTTGGTCTGCCAGAATCAGGCCCTCTGTCTCCTTTTTCAAAGTTCCATTTGTGAGCCACAGCCATGTTTTTTCTTTGTCAATTTGGCTCTCAATTTTTTCCCAGGAACTGTTATTATTGTTGTTATAGTATTATTATTATTATTATTATTATTATTATTATTATTATTACTTCTTATCTGCCTCTCCTCATGGCTCAAGGTGGGTTGAACTGTGGAGAAAGCATCCTATGACATGGACACTTCCTTCACAGTTGAAGCAGGCAGCCCCACCAGAAGTCATCCTGCGTCATGTGATGGGTGGCACAGGAGGCTTTCCAACACAGTTCAGGCATGGTTCACACAACACAGAGTGACTTCCTTTGGAGCTCTATGCCTAAACAGTAGAGGAAGCATCCTACAAAGCTTCCTCCAGGAGCCAGCATAGAGGAAAGCCATGCAGCAATGCTTTCCCCCATGTGATGAGGAAGCATCACCACGGGTAATGTAGGGCATGGGGCAAAGGGATTGCCCCGTATTCCCACCAGGTAATTGCAGCTTCCCTGCTTAGTTTTCTCAGATTTTGTCCCCATCTCCAGTTTCCCTCATCCTTCCCTTCCTCCCATCCCTTGGCCATTGGGAGGAGTAAGAAAAAAAATTAGAACAATGATGATTTTTAAAAGCTTCTCATGGTGAGTGCAAGGCTGGGCCGGGCATATGACTGGGTGCCTGGTTGCTCTCTCCGCCTCCTTCTTCCCAAGTAAACATTAACAATTTGCAATCTGTATCTGCATTGCCCTGTGCATCTGACTTGCATCTTTTTCTTTTCCTCTACGTTGATCTTGCCTGAAACCTGCAGAAACCTGGCAAGATGCAACTAGGAAACTTCCGGCTTCCCCTCCATCTAGGACAAACTTAACCCTGGCTCCTTTCTTTCCCCAAGCAAATCCTCCCCTCTGCTTCCTTCTCTTCTTTTTTCTACTTGCTATGTGGGCAATGGGATACTTGGTGACAGAGTTACCCCACTGCCCCACTGATTTGAGACTAAGCAGGACAGAACAACTGTAACTGTGATAAGGTCATTAGCCTCTGAAAACCTTGACATTACTGGAAAGCAAACAGCCATCATCACAAGGTGTGTATAAAATGTACAGAGTATTGCTCTCAAATGGTTCAGCATCTTTCCAGAATAATGAAACATGGAAGCTACTATGAAGTTCAGACCTGGATAATGTACTGTCTTCACCTGTTTTCATTGCAGTGACACAATGGGGTAAACCCTTGTGCTGGCAGAACAGCTATCCAACAGGTCAGTGGTTCAAATCCAGGGAGAGCAGGTTGAGCTCCCTCTGTTAGCTCCAGCTCCCCATGTGGTGACATGAGAGAAGCCTCCCACATGGATGGTAAAACATCAAACATCCTAGCATCCCCTGGGTAACATTCTTGCAGATAGTCAATTCTCTCACACCACAAGTGACTTGCTGTTTCTCAAGTCGTTCCTGACACAAAAAATACCCTGTTTACAACCTTCGTCTGCCCACAGTCAGAAAAATAAAATGCAATGCAGTGGTGTGACACACACACAACCCCCCTCCCCCCAGAAAATAATACCTCACCAATAGTAGTCTCTAGCAGATGTTCTTCACATAGTTCCTAAGCTTTCTTCCCTAGATGCTCTTCAAAGAAAAAGCAGTTGGTGCCTTACATATCAGTGGGCAGGGCTATAGCCAGGGGAGGGGGTATAGGGGTTCAATCTCCCCCCCCCAATATTTCAAGATAAAAAAAACTGGTTTTCTCATAAATCTTAACTGGTTAGCCAAATTCCCATGCTAAGTCTATGAGAAGCAAGCATTAAATTGATTTCATCAAGTCTATATAAAATATAAAATGAACTATACTATTTAAATTATTGTTGTTATGGAACTACTCTTCATGATTTGCTTTTTTTTTTTCAACACCTCCCCCCCCCCTCCCCTGTGGGGTATTATTCAGTTCTAGGTTCTAATTCAAATGACCTTTTCAAAATATCTTCAGAATATTTTTGGAACCTTGAGTAGTTTTTTTAATATTTAGACTGAATTCTAAAGTAAATTCAGCACACCACTGGCCTAGAAGACATTAGCCATCATGGCTTCATGGGTTCCTACTTTTATCATTTGGCTTGAAATAAAGAAGCCAAAATTATTGTAGTGCAATTTTTCACATATGATACGACAAATGGTATATCAAAACTTTGAGTCAAAAAACATTTTATGGAATTATTCAGAATCTCTCTCTCTCTTTTAACTTTAGCAAGTATTCTAATCCTACCTGATACTTTTCAGCATCACCAACTTCAAGATACGGAAATTCTTCCAGTTCATCATCATCATCATCCTCCAGGCTATTAAAGTTTTCAGTATGCTTTGCAGATGTTGTTACCAAATCTGTTAAGATCTGACCAACCCAGTTTGTACCTGAGAAGTTGTGCAGGAAGAAGACAAAAATAAATAGAGGAAGAGGAAAAAGGGAAGGAAGGAAGGTGCAAACACCAAAATAAACTGAAAGTTGTGAGTGGTAACATATCACACAGAAGAAGCTGTTGATTAATATGTAAGTACGAAGATTGTCCTGGATTTTTATCTGAACTTAAAAAGAGCTATCCAGAGTACTCAATCCTATCTACAAAAACACCTTGAATAGCTCTTTTAATGTTAGAATCAAGATTTGGGACAGATTTGCCACCTTACTAATACCAGAGCTGTCAGCCAGGAAAAATATAAGGTAAAACTAAACAAATAATTTAGGCATAACTTAATTTACAGACTGAACAATGCAAATGATCGTTGATAAATCATAATAGTAATAATGATAATGATTGATGATGATGATGACGGGTAACCTGCATACAGATTTATGACCTAGAATTATGGATTGGAAGTACTCTGTATATATGCAGTATTAATGACTGTGGAAACATTTCCATAATCATCACCTTAAATTCAACTTAAACTCCAGGGAGCTGCTCTATGTGCAACATGGTTAAGTAGTAAGCTTCTGGATTCTAATGCAATACAGCTAAATAACAGAGTTGGGGACTGGAGATTAAAGGGCCAATTCCTTGGTTCACTCATAACTATGCTTACATTTATATAGCTATGAAAGTAGTGAAAGGTCTTGGTAAATCATAACAAAATATCTGTTTTGCAAAAAATATTAAAACTTCAATTTTTCGTGTATTCGTGGTTTTAAAACTCTGCATGCTATTAATTGATCCATCAGTTTATTCACAGAAATTATATTGCTTGCCATAATATGATTTGTAATATTTTAATAGACCATTCCACAGTACTTATTCCTCCCCATACAATTGTATGTCTTTTTCCTCAACTTATTTCCCCTTTTTATATCAGATTTGGCCCAGAAACTTGCAGGAATCCATGTCTGAGGCTTAGAAGTTTTACATGTAAAAAATGTATACTGTCCAGAATCAGCCTCAGTCTCTTCTCTTGCATCAGAATTCCACTCCCTCCCCATAGTCACACCTCTCAAGTTGCTCTGATGGGTCTCCCAAAACTTAGGAGATGACTTGCAGTCTATGGTGAGAGACTGCAGGGGAAAGGAAAGTTCCATCAGTTGCATCCATCCAGTAGGTGGACAGGCTCTCACCTCCGATCATTTGGCATTTTCATTCCATTGTTCAGAATTCTTTTCAATGTAACATATCCATAACAAAAAAAGTATTTACCAGACTTGGGATAACCTGCTAGGAACACATCATCATTCCTTGCTTCAAAGGACTCAAGAGCTTTGAAGGTTTCTGGGCTGCAAATAGTAGATGGATACAAAACCTGCTTATACAAAAACAGTAGATCTTCGGGTTCCATTTTGTTACCATCAGCCATTGCCTTGTCTATTACAGCAATAAACTTATTTCTGTGTTTTGACATTTTCTGTGCCCACCCTTACCAGTGCTCACTTGTGCTCACCCTCACTTTGCTCTATATGGAAACGCTGTTGGAGACACAAAGCTAATGTCCATGTTTAAATAAGATCTGTGAATATGTGGAAAACATGTGATCTGGTATACCTTGCAGATAGGGGTATGACTCAATGTAATAAGTTCCCTTTGGAATAATTTAAAATAAGCTCATTAACTTTACTTGGTGTTGTATAAGACTCTACATAGAATTTGATATCTTGTTTAGCTGAAAGGCCTTTCTGATTTTGGAATATCACATTTCAAAAATAAAACACCATTGAATAAGCCCCATGGTACTCTTGCATAACACAGTGGTATGTGAGAACTACTGCCTCGATGCTTATATCCACTTTCTGGGCAAGATGTTTCCGCAATTTTAGATGTACTTGGAGAAATCAGATTATCTGGATTTATTTCAATCTGATTTCAGAGTATGGAATTGAAATAGATTTGGGGTGCATCACTGTATAATTGGTACACTTTGCTACTATTTTCATTGTTATGTCTCAAGGTTGTGGAATCATGGGTATTGTTGAGGACTTCTCTACACTGGCCACAAAACCCAAAGTAGTCTATAAGTTGCTCCTGGATGTGTTCATGATGTCCAGGGATTTCCAGGTGTAATGCAGGCTAAAAGGGGTTAAACCATTTTAGCCCCACATTAGGAAAAGATAGAGTATGTAAACATCTCCACAGCCTCTGGAGCCAGTCTAGAGCATTTCTTCTCCAGACTGGCCCCCAAATAATAAGCCAGTGTAGAAAAGCCCTGAGAAACTACTCCAGGTGAAAGATGGTGCAAGTAGTACCATATTGATCTTTATGGATCTGTTAGTAAATTCTGCTACCATTGACTATAATTACTGGATTATCTCTACAGGATGGATGTTGGAGACACGGTGTCACTGAAATTATATAGACAATTGTCTCCTGCATTTCCTCATTCCTTTGCTATTGTTAGTAGTATATCACTGGAAGGCAAATTTAGGCAAGTGTTGACTGTCATTTGAGAGAACAAAATTTAAAATCTTTACCTTTAATTTGTGATCCATTTCTGGTTTTGAATAGCCTACTTTAACATTGCTTGGTTTTCATCTTAATTTGAATAGCTATGTGATTATGAGTCTACATATGTTACAGATAATAAAACTCTCCACATTATTGTTTCAGATAATTCTCCTAAACTCGAGAGCAGATTTTCAGAGATAAAGTAGAAAGAGAAAAATGTCAGGAATCCACTGACTAAACTCCATCTATAGATGCACCCAGCGTGTAGGGTTGCTCTCTGCATAATTCTGAATTAGGGTAGGAAATTGTTTTGTAGTTTTGATTTAGAATGAATGGAGACACAAAGCCACACTTCAAACCTATACAACTCTATTTTTCTTGCTTATTCCAGAAGTGTTAAACTCAGATACATTTTCTGGCACTTAAAATCTGATGTAGGCTATATCCCTTTCTACAGTATGTACACAAAAGTAGAAATCACTGCCAGTTATTTTCAGAACATTTTCCCACCTTGGGCCTGTTGGCACATACTTCAAGACATGAATGAATTGAATATTTCCCTGGTTCATTGGGGTTTTCTTACATTGTCATAAGGGGAATCAGAAAAGTTGGAAGGAGGCTTTAAGAACCAACTGCAAACACTCAAACCACTTGTGGCTCATGGGTGATTTCTTGTCCAATTGTTCCGATTTGTCAGAAATATTCCCAATTAATCTATTATCCCACTTTTTCAACTGCTCATAAAATGTCGTAGTTTCTTTCTCCTCCTTCCTCTTTCCCCCTTTAGCCTCAGCTTATTCCAACTGTTGCAAACTAATTCAGTAACCATATTGCTGCAGCCTATCCTATCTCATTTGTTCTTTCTCATTAATACTTTTTATGACTCACTATATGGAACTTCATTGAATCCACATAGTCATCATGGGACCCATTCTGGCAGAAAGCAAGCATATAAATTCAATGAACCATCAAACAAACAAACAATAAGCTTTGTAACAAAAAGGTTATTTAAGAGTTTTTTTAAAAAAAATGTAGATATTTTTACAGTTTGGAATTATGGCCAGAATTGTCTCTTATGGTCCACATTACATCCCTTTATGTATACTTAGCTACATAGCAGAGGCGCTAAGAAATCTTATTACTGAGTCACGAAGATGCATCAGTCACATAGTAACATAGCAGCTCCTTGCTGAATATAGATGCTGTGAAACAGATCAATTCTATTTCTTGCACATGTAAGTATATATCAATCTAATAGTATATCATGTTATATATAGTGCATTTTAAGTTCCTAAACTAACAAAGTAACTTTCAAGATGTCTTTTGGATTTTTCCAAACTTTTTTTTTCTTGAAGAAAACAGAAAATTCAGGTTTTTCCCCCAAGTTCCAGTTTTTTGGAAATATTACATCTTTAATCTCATATGGTTACATGCACATCAATTATCTTATAGGAAAATATTATTATAATTGCAAGGTCAGATACAAAATAAGTATTCTGAACCGTGTTATATTATTGTGACATTTATCCTTTGAGAACTGTAAGAGTGATATTGTGGGAATATCACACTTTGGGACTTTACATAACGGTATAGTTCTGCCCCTATTTATTGCACAACTGAGTCCACGGAGCTTCACTTCCAAGGATTGCAATCTAAACCTTGCAGTGCAGAAAGGTGACACTTGAGAGCAATTTTCAAAACAAACACTTTTAAAGCTATTCACTATGATGACATTCAAGCTATCTTACTGAAACCTCTTTGATATCATAAGCCTAGGTATGGATGGATATTCAGAAAGGAGACCCAGATAACATGCTATTTTGATTCTGCATTACAGTGTATGTTGTCAAATCAGAGAAGGTCTTGTCAAACATGTACTCTTCTCCAGGACCGCATCTCAAATGTGTTAATTTACTCCCTATCAGCTTTCTTTACTGTCTAGTATTCACAACCACACACAGAAATGGGAAATAAAATGGCATGCATTAGCCTAACTTTACTATCAAATAATACACCTCATGATCTTCTGTAATTTTTTCATAGCTGTCTTTCTATGGCCTAGTTTTCTTTTGATTTCTTGACTGCAGTTTCCATTTTGGTGCCAAAGTATGGAGAATCATGAACTCTTTCAATGTCTTATTATCTTCTTTAAAATTATGCAGATTGTTTGGGGTCATTTTTTGTTTTATTAATGTTCAGTATTTCTCTGTCTTCATATTTTCTTTCTTGATTATCTTTGGGAGTTGTTCCAAGTCTTTTCTATTTTCTACTAGTATTATGGTGTCATCTGCATGTCTTAAATTACACAATGCAACAAAATTTGGAAAAAATATCTTTGTGGTTTGAAAATGTTATTTCTTGTTTAATTGTATGTTACTTACTTTGAAAGAAATCACTACACTCCAAAAACATCATTTTTGTGATTGCCACAAACTATGTAGAATTGGTTAGACCACACCTGGAATACTGTGTCCAATTCTGGGCACCACAATTGAAGAGAGATATTGACAAGATTAAATGTGTACAGAGGAGGGCGACTAAAATGATCAAAGGTCTGGAGAACAAGCCCTATGAGGAGGGGCTTAAATAGCTGGACATGTTTAGCCTGCAGAAGATAAGACTGAGAGGGGACATGATAGCCATGTATAAATTTGTGAGGTAAAATCATAGAGAGGAGGCAGCAAGCTTGTTTTCTGCTGCCCTGGAGACTAGGACAAATGGCTTCAAACTACAAGAAAGGAGATTCCACCTGAACATTAAAAGCAACTTACTGACTGTAAGAGCTGTTCAGCAGTGGACCTCTCTGCCCCAGAGTGTGGTGCAGGCTCCTTCTTTGGAGGCTGGATGGCCATCTGTTGAGGGTGCTTTGAATGCAATTTTTCTGCTTCTTGGCAGAGGGTTGGACTGAATGGCCCACGAGGTATCTTCCATTTCTATGATTCTATGATTCTATAGTTGAGACTCTATAATTCATTGAAAAACTATACCAAAATGTGCTGCAGGATGTCCTGCAAAAACAATGTTTTTGCAGTTTAATAAACTTTTTCCATGTTTTTATGATAGAACCAATTAGGAAATGACATTTATAACCCAGGGAGAAAAATTATGTTACATGTTGTTACTGATGTTCCTTCTTCCAATTGTTATGTCCCCTTCCTTCAATTCTAATCATTCTTTACATATGGTAGGTTCAGCATACAAATTACAAAGATGGGGTGCCACCCAGTGAGCTGCCTTCACTCACCTTTTCTGACATGTCGAAACATGAAATATTTATGGCCTGCAAGGTTGCTGAAGAACTAGAGACATGAAAATGCCATATTTCCTTCTTATCAGGTTTCATTGGACATTTTCAGTTTCTCCTATTTTGAGGCTATATCTACACTGCAATATAATGCAGTTTAACAACATTGACGTACATTGTATGAATCTATGCTGCCGTATAATGCTGTTCAATGCATTTAAACTGCACTGTGAAACTGCAGTATATGGCAGTGTAGATTGGGTCTGATTTTTGCTCTTAGCCAAATAACCAGTAACAACAGTCTTCTAGATGTGTATTACTCCACATTATCTACAGATATCTAATATGCAATCTGATATTCTACCACTGGGTGTCACTCCGAACCATGTAAAGATTCTCAGTCTGCATTTATCTCTCTGGGAGAATCATAGAATCATAGAATCAAAGAGTTGGAAGAGACCTCATGGGCCATCCAGTCCAACCCCCTGCCAAGAAGCAGGAATATTGTATTCAAATAACCCCTGACAGATGGCCATCCAGCCTCTGTTTAAAAGCTTCCAAAGAAGGAGCCTCCACCACAGTGTAGTTTGACTCTTGTGTTTGATTGGGACACTGGGAATTCAGGGTTCAAATCCCAGCTCAGACATGGAAACCCTCTATGTAGTCTTTGGAAAGTCACATCTTCTCCAGCATCAGAGGAAGGCAAGGTCAAACTAACT